TGCCGCTACCTATCCTTTGCTTGCTCTTTCGTTCGCAATGGAAGCCTACCTGACCAATGTGCCTAGGCACCTTACGGATCGAACTCTGGAGAAGGAGCTTTGGCCGCACATGAATGCTCTCGGTATCCTTGATTGGGCATGCTCGACGAAAAGCAAGAACAACAAGGGCTGGGTGACGTTCCTCAATGCAGAAGACGGAAAACGCTTTCTGAAACGTCATGGAAAGGAGATCCTCCCTGATGTTGGGCCTACATTCAAGCCCACGCCGAAAGGAGGAAAGCCTCCAAAGGATCGGGCGAGAGCAAACCTGCTTCTCATGAACACCCATGTCTGGGTGGCCCCAAGCAACAGAGCACCGGATCCATTTATGATCAAGAGCCTTAAGCACCGTCTGGAGGAAAAGTACAGACAAAGGACGCAGCAAGACGCTCCCTCCACCGACGACGCCATCGTTTTTCAAGTCAGCCACTTGGCTTGCGGCCACAACACTTTTCAGCGAGACAAGACCTTGACCTTCAACGAACAATGTCGTCTCTCTCAAAGAGGCCTAGCAAAGTTTGGAAAGAGAATGCTCATTTTGAAATTCGAACAAGGGGTCAAAGTCGAGATCCCTCACTCCTCCATCGTCGAGATGATACACAGCTCTGATCCATCCACTTTTACTACCCTCCTGAGTGAGCCACCACGATTCTATCATACAAAGTCCGATTTGGAAGAACAGATGGAACGTCTAGGCTTAATCGACGATTCCAAGAGACCTCAGGGAAAGCCACTCACTCGCAGTCTTGGTCTATCCAGCAGCAAAGAGCATCTGAAGTGTGCGGGAACTTGTCTCGTCTACCAGCTGGGAATCTTTGACCCCGACTTTGATCATAATATGATAAGCCTCAAGAAGAAGGAAGTAATCGTCATCGCGCACTCAAAGGTCGCTCTCAACCAGATGCCCATCTTTTACGGAGTTGACTACCACACCGAGTGGGCCAAATTCTATGATGGTCTAGTCAAGGCCGGATCCGCCAAGGCACTGCCGTTTGGCATTCTGTTCCAGTTGCAGTCCTTGGTCTTCAACAACTTTTTGCACCCACGCAGTGCCCACACAATGTTGGTGTCTCTCGAGGAAATGTTCATAAGCGCCAAATTACATGGCAAGCCGGAGCCCGTTTCCCAACAGGCCTTCAAGATTTTGCATGGCACTGGCCAGGACGGAATCTCCTACCCGTGCCATAACACTGACCCAAGCGAACTGGACCCTAACGAAATCCTAAGATATCTTCTCTCCATTGAGAAGCGTCTTCAATCCGAAACCAACATGGAATTCCGAGATGTCCTGCTAGAACCTGAGATAACCGATCACCATGCGTGGGTTTTCAAGGCCACAGTGACCCCGACGAGGGTCACCTTGCATGGACCCGATCTGGAGCCTCTCAATCGCATCCTTCGCAAATATCCAAACCAGACAGACTACTTCATGAGAGTCACCTTCGCTGATGAAGACGGTAGTGATCTATTCTTCAGCGGCAAGGTGTCCTACGATAAAATCTTTGACCGCTACAAGAGCATCCTTGGCAAGGGCCTGGAGGTGGCTGGTCGAGTTTATGGCTTTCTTGGTTTCTCCCACTCCTCACTCCGGTCGCATTCAGCATGGTTCTCGGCTCCATTCTTTGACGACTGGAACAAACTGCAACTGTATGGAAACATCATCAAATCCTTAGGTGATTTTAACAAGATACAAATCCCAGCCAAGTGCGCGGCTCGCATCGGGCAGGCCTTTTCGGAAACCCCCTCATTCATTTCCATCCGCGAGGCCGGAATCGAGCGCTACTACATTCCGGATGTCAAATCAATGGAGGGTGAAACGGAACGAGTTTTCAGCGATGGTGTAGGCACAATCTCCCGCGAAGCTCTCGAGCTGATTTGGCCACGCCTGCCACGAGGCTCATTGATTTCCACTTGTTTGCAGATTCGGTGGGGAGGTGTCAAAGGAATGCTGTCTCTGGACACAAGGCTTCAGGGCCGAGCGGTGTGCATTCGAAAAGAGTCTATGGAGAAATTCCCCAGTAAGGATTGGGAGAATCTCGAAATCTGTGACGTTGCATCACGGCCGCTCAAATTGGTGCTGAATCGGCAATTGATCAAGATCATGGAGGACTTGGGTGTGTCCAAGCAATGGTTTCTCCGACTGCAGAAGATGGAGCTTGATCGACTTCGGGCAGTAACGGCCGATGCTTACAACACGGCAACATTCTTGCATCTCCAGGGCATCGGCACAAGTTTCTTTTTGCCGACTTTCGTCAAGAGCCTTGACAAGTACGGCATAGATTACCGGCAAGACACTTTCTTGAGAGCAGTGGTCGAGTCGGTTGTTTTACGGGAATTGCGATTGTTGAAGCACAAAGCCAGAATACCCGTTCCCAAGGGTGCCACCCTTTTCGGAATCATGGATGAGACGAGGTTCCTCAAGGACGGCGAGGTCTACGTCAGTTTTGACACTTATCGAAGACCTGGAAAACCAGCCATTGTCGAATCTATCAAGGATGGTACCTTCATCCTCGTGACGCGTTCGCCAGCTCTTCACCCCGGCGATATTCAGGAAGTCATGGTTAGAGTACCACCCGCAGGTCACCCCTTACGGAGCCTCCGCAACTGCATCGCGTTTAGCCAGTTTGGAGACCGCGATTTGCCTAGCAAGCTGAGTGGCGGCGATCTTGATGGCGACTTGTACAACATCATCTGGGATCAAGATGCAATGCCCGCAATGGTGTATAAAGCCGCCGACTACCCCAGAGTAACACCAGAGCCACTCGGTCGATCAGTGACGAGAGAAGACATGGCTAACTGGTTTGTTGACTTCATGAAGTCTGATGTACTCGGCATGATTGCCACCAGGCATCTAATTCTCGCCGATAAACACCATGAAGGAACTGTGAGCGGAGACTGCATCAGACTAGCCGGTTTACACTCGACTGCTGTGGACTTTTCGAAGACGGGCATCCCCGTCGCGCGGGACGAAATACCAAAGGCGCCCATATTTCGCCCGGACTTGTGAGTAGATTATGTCGCTCGGCGTAGTTTCATATTATCACTACTAATGGTGTCTCACAGCCTTGCTCCCGCCCCTCCTGCTCAGCTGTATGATCGAACGCAGATTGACTTCCTTGGCAAGGACGAGGCAGTCGACGACGATGACGACGGTTTCGCACCATCTTACCGATACTACAAATCAGAAAAAATCCTCGGCGAGCTTTATCGCAATGTCGACGAAAAGCAGATCTGGGATGACGAAATCAAGAGATCCATCGCCAAGACCGGCCCCTCTGTTTGGGACCAGTTTGTCGGCTTGATAGAGCGAAAGATCCAAGACTATACTCATGGACGAGTGAGCTGGGAAACGAAGCTCAAGGAGGCGAAAAGCCTGCGCGACGTGTGAGTGGCTCTGGGACTTACATTTTGGCAGTTTCATGAATTGTGTCCAGCTGACAGTCTCTCCAGATACGAAGATCACCTCTTCAGTGCCATGACAACGTACTCCGACAGTCACTTGAAGCAATTGACAGAAGTCGAGGTATTCTGCGGCTCAATCTTCAACAAGACCGGCGCGCAGACTCGCCGTCAAAAGGACAACTCAATGAAGCTCAAGCAAGAGTTCGATCGACTAGCCGACCTCATGGTGCAACAAATGCGCCGCAAGTTCCGTAATGCTGGAGACCAGGCTGCCCACTCAACTGATATCTACCATAATCCTGCACCGTCTGGCACCAGTCATGTTGATGACGACATGGAACGGCTCTTAGCACCGAACAAGGATGCGTTGGAAATGTCATATGCGTGCTTCATGGTCGGGTTGCTGCCAAGTACCGACACCGAGCGCGGACATCGAGCAACGCAACTGGATAGCTTCAAGGTTATTTCGGCGGGTGTCTTGCTCAAAGAGCTCACTGAGCTTGCCAATCGCGTGAAGGGTGGCCGACTGGTTGACCCCAGCAATGACGACGCTGCGGGAGGTGGCTTTGTAGGTGTCAGCGGTGGGCCAGCAATGTCCTATGCGTACAGCGGCTATGATATGGATGTCGGGCAGTATCCCAATTACGGGTACAGCCATTACATGTAGAGTACCTGTGAGAGGTAGACCACGATATGATCAAAGTCTATTGTACGATGTTCGAGGCTGTGTATTTGATGAGCCGTTGTCGACATTTGGTTCGGGGCCTTGAAAGACGCCGGGAAAGCTGATTTGCCGGGTTAAGCTTTGCCTTCAATCAGTGCGCGAAGAGGGGAAAGCTTCCGGGGCTGCTCACGTCGAAGGATTGTTCCTTAGGCCAGTCACAAAGAAGCCACTGTAAGCCTCCGACTAACTTCCCTACAACTTGGAAAGCCTCCCGCTGACGCGAGATGGAAATCTCCTATATATTATATGACAAGAGAATAGGACGATGTTCTTCGTCTTCATGAGCTATTTGATTTCCCATTCCTCTCTTTGCCCATTTCCCAAATCACCATGATGACCCCCTCAAAGCCGGCTCCTAACAGCGAAATCTCGGAGAATCTGACCCTACCGCAGAGTCCCACTATACCCAGCAAGACACCATCTCTTTAAGATGAAGGCCAGAATGAAGACACCCAAATTGCAGCCGAGGCATTGAAAGCGTACGGGAAAGAGATACGCTTCTAGGCCATCTTATTCGCACTTTGCACCACTTCTCTACTCGCTTCCATCGAGACCACGGTGGTTGTTACCTCGTTGCCGACGATTGTTGAGCGCTTGAAGTTTGGGAGCAGTTATGTCTGGGTTGGCAACATCTTCTTTCTCCCCAGGTCAGTCTCGGAGCACCAACCCAGCCATAAGTTACCGAAAATACAGATATGAAGCGCAACTAAGTGCCGCTGTCCAGCCTTTCTTCGGGCAGTTTTCCAACCTTTTCGGTCGCAGGTACCTCACGCTATTCATCGTATCAATCTACACTCTCGGCAGTGGAATCTGTGGCGGCGCTAATAGCCCGACGATGCTCATCGCCGGGCGCGCTGTGCAAGGGATGGGAAGCGGTGGCATCAACATGATCATAGACATCATCATCTCCGACCTCGTCCCACTTAGGGATAGAGGTAACTACATCGTCATCATCCTGGTGATCTACGGTGTCGGCATGGCAATCGGACCGTTCGTGGGAGGCGTCATTGTGTAAACCAGTTCATGGCGATGGGTGGGCACATACTCTTGACCATGATCTTCCACCTATGCTGACGGAACAGGTGTTCTATATCAACCTCCCAGTTGGTGGTCTCTCACTCGTTCTACTCTACCTTTTCCTTCGCGTCAAATGGGATCGAACCGCTACCCTCAAAGACAAACTTCGCAGACTCGACTACATCGGCAACTCGATGCTAATCGCATCTACAGTCTCCGTCCTCATAGCTCTCACCGGGGCCGACGCAATCCACCCTTGGTCCTACTACCGCGTCATAGTCCCTCTGATCCTCGGTCTTCTGGGTATCGTTGCCTTCTGCATCTTTGAGGGATCAGTCATTGTTCCTGAACCGGTGATGCCCCTACGCCTCTTTGCCAATAGGACCTCCACCGTTGTCTACGCAACCACCGTCCTTAATTCGGCAATTCTGTACTGGGCATTCTTCTTCCTCCCGCTTTACTTCCAGGCCGTCAAGCTCTCGACTCCAGCTCGCTCGGGTGTTCAATCACTTCCTGTGACCTCAATCTCGATCCCGGGCGCCGCGATCTCCGCCGTCGTCCTCGCGCGATGGGGTTGCTATAAAGCCCTCCACATCGCAGGCTTCGCTTTCATGACCCTCGGTCTCGGCACCTGGACCTTCCTGAACAGAAACAGCAGCACAGCAGCCTGGGTCCTCGTACAAGTCGTCCCTGCGGTGGTTTCAGGCATGCTCCTTAACACCCTCCTCCCAGCCTTCCAAGCAGGTCTCGCGGAAGCGGATCAAGCTGCCGCGACAGCAAGCTGGTCCTTTATCCGCAGTTTTGAGAGTATCTGGGGCGTCGCTATCCCCGCGACCGTCTTCAATACCTGTACATCGTCGCATGCTGCGCAGAAGATTGATGACCCTACGGCTCGGGGTGTCTTACAGCACGGAGATGCATATGCCAGCGCCACGAAAACCTTTATTGAGTCTTTTGATGAACCGAAGAGAAGTCAGATCATTGATGTATTCACTGAGGCGATGAGGAAGGTATTTTTCATTGCGATTGCGTTTGGAGGCTTGGCTTTCTCGTTGAGCTTCTTGGAGAGGGAGATTAAGCTGAGGAAGGACCTGGAGACCCGAATTTGGGCTCGAAGAAAAGAAAAGGTCGACGGAGATATGAATGCTGGTTAATTGATACCTATCAGAGGTTTAAAACTCCAACATCCGCTGATAGTCATCTACATGTTGCCTCTCACATTTACTGGAAGAATCATTCCACCTGGCCACTCACTGCGACGTCAAGTCTATCACCCACGACATTTGATAGGCACATGTTCGGAGGCTTGCGAGCTTTCAGGTAGGCTCGAGTTCGCTCGGCATGTACATCTAGTTTGCGTATCACAGCCGACGGGATACTCTTCATTTCCAAGACCTCGCCCAATCGATATGTACCATGACGACACCGAGGATCGTTGCAGTAGCCGGGGGCACAAGGAGACCGCAGCGACTTCAAAGACTATTTGAGCGACGTTGACGGACAGCGGAGGAGCGGGCCAGGACTTCCATGACTCGACTCCGTCTGACCATCACGGAGTCAAAACTAGCGTCCGTAGTTGGACGTTTTAGCGTTTTAACTTCACGACTTCAGATCATTTCCCACTTCCCGCTTCAAGCCTACCCGTCGGTAAAAGCGCGGACAGAACAGGCAGCTTGCTACCCTGGCCAAGTCGGAAGCCCCCGACTGCAAAGTGAGGAAGTTCCTCACTCCAACTCAAGCGTGCAAGCACAAGGAGTGTATGAACAGAGCGAAACCAAGGCCGCAGAACCGCACGGTTAGGTACCATGCAGGGAACCTGGGGTTTTCTCCCTTCTTTCCCCTCCGTTCGTTTCGTCACGGTGGTCCTTGCGACAGAGCAGTCGGCCCAAAGTCTAAGTTCATCCGCCATGCTTCATCCTCGCCCACACCATACTGTCATCGAACACAAGTACCTTAGCTGGAGCTGTCCGCGGGGTCAGGTTTTCTCGGTTCCTATAACATGGCAACCCTGCCCATCTTTGACCGCCAAAGGAGCTGCACAGCTCACTTCAACTTCCTTTGGAAACTTTCGAGGTCAGAAGAAATTCATGCACACGTGGTGAAGAAAGCCTCCAATTGTCGGGCGAACCCGCCTCCATGGCAGAGAAGCTGCTCGCTGGCCAAAGCTTCAAGATCGCCGACCGGCACCCTAAACTTTTTCTCTCCCTCTCTTTTCCCCTCGACTGACTTTCGGCACTTTGGCTGGGTTTAAGTTCGGCTCCTCATTCTCCGTCGCACCATTCAAATGGCATCCGGCGCGTTCGTTGTCATTGAATTTGGCCCATCTCATATTACCTTGCCCTCATGCCGTTTGGCAGCTAACTTGAGCTGAACACACACGGTGGGGTCATGCATGACTATGAATCGATACAGAGTCAGCAAACCAAGCGGGCCCCATAGCAAGGCATCGCCTGGGCGACGACGATGTCTGTCGTGTCGCAAGGTGCCGGCTGCGGTGAGTGGAGGGAGACGCGACTTGAGATTATATCTGGCAGAATTTTTATTGACGATGATCACAGTGTGAATGCCGGCAATCTCGGCATGTGAGGGAAAGGTCGCAATCAAGTTCCGGAACCTCATCCATGAGCGAAAACTCGCCGACCACCAATGCGACCATTGAATCGAAAATCACCACACCAGGATGTCTAAGCTCAACGCCAGGGAGTCTGGAGCCCTTGCCGGCTGACATCACAATGGCTTTCTTCGCCTTCGTGGGCGATTCACCTTCACCCATGACCGATGTCTTCTCGCTCTCATTTATGCGGACATATCTTGACACATCAATACCAATTCGTGCTATTGTAACGACAATTGGCAAAATATGCCTGGAGTACTCCAAGACCACCGCTTTAGAAAAGAAGCAAAAGGCCGCAGCCGCAATCATAGCCCAGGACCGACACAAGTTGAAAGAATTCCTTGACGCTCTCACATCTCCCGAGAGCAGTGACCAACACTTAATGTTGCTATATGGAATCTTGATGGCTTATGCTGAAGTGTGTTGAAACTCCAATACCCAACACATTGCACCTAGTTTCTGTCATACCCAGGACTGACTTTAATTTCTCTCAACAGACGATGACTGGCCAGTCATGGCTATTCTTCCAGGCCACAATGAGAAAGCTGACAGAGAAGGTCCAACAACAGGTCCAGGAGAGGAAAAGAGCACCACTTTTGTACTTTGACAAAGGATTGTTGATGAACTATTCGCTCATGGCAACTTATCACTGTCTGGTATCATTCGAGGACACCTTCCTCGTTGACGTCGAACTCTACGACCCAACGCCTTTTGACAATATTGATGCGATTACCAGCCAAGTTCGTATCAACTCCGCAATATTACACCACTACACAAAATATGTAGCCAATTTTGCGCGACTGCACCACAAGTAAGAAAAGTCACACTCGGGGAATATTTGTCGAGTCTTGTACAAAGAGGCTTATAATTATTTCAGGGCAACGAAGTGGGTGCGACAAGCGCGTCACGTTTTGAACGACCGACACGTGGCTGCTGAACCGCCACCGCACGCAGAGCTTAAGAAGATACTGTCAGACGCTGGACTTTTACAACAGGGGATGGAAATTATCGAAAACTCGGCAGCGGTCATTGACGTGATGGAGAATCTCCGAGGAGATAGATATGACGAAAGCGACGAGCTGGACAAGAACGACTTCGGCAATCTGCGCGAGGCCTTTTACCATTTCTCGCTCATGGGAATAACGCGAACATTTTGGGACCCGGCATGGAAGCTTATCGATGAAGACTTGCCGCACATGACAGACATGCCGGATCTCGAAGGACACGGATTATTCGTCTTGGAGAGACTAGAGCAACGGACCCCTGTCGTCGGATTAGAGTCATGGAGCTACCTTGTTGTGCTCATGGGCGTTGCCTTGGAGGCTAAGAGAGATGATATTCGGCAACGAGTGGCTGTCCTGCTCAAAGACATATTGGGCAAAGGGTTTGCCATCGCCGGAGCTTTATTAACTGACGTGAAGATGATTTGGGGCATGGATTATGCATCTGGACACGAATGCATCGGACCTAGCGCGTGAGGGAGAACGAGGGAGGCGTAGGGAGGCGTGAATAGCATACTATGCAACTTACATCAGGTCAAGATATCTGAGAATCACTGCTGATAATTCAATGTGTATTACAAAGAGACCAGTGTTAATGCAGATTGTACGCTCATATTTGAACTAAATAGATAAATTCTAGCCAGTTATTGAATTTTCCGCTCAAAGTTCGCACTAAGGCTCCGTGTTGTATTTCCTCAAGTCCCGCACAAAACTGCCGTCTTGTCAGGCTACCTAGGTACTTATATACCGTCCGAAATGCCGATGGGATACAATTCTGACAGCGATGCGATGCTTTTGAATCGTTACGGATAAATCTTTATACTGGCGAAACGACTGGCTTCAACTTCATATGTAATTCAATTGGTTGACATGACGTAATGTTGTTCGAAGCTTCCCCCGCACAAAAGTCCCGCAACCGGCGTTCGAGAAACAAATATCACAACGGGGAGATAATCAGATCAAGAGCCTCGAGATTGATTCGTACATCTTGCTGTTACCTCAAGAAACACTATCCAGAGCACTATTCACAATGGCACCCCCTATCTGCACAAAGACGTTCAAGCTGAACAACGGTACGAGACTCAGCGCCATGGAAAAAAATGACACGCATCTCATGAGCTATGTTCCAATGAGCTGATCAACCTTCTTCAGGCCTCGAACTCCCCGCCGTGGGTCTGGGAACATGGCAAGGTAGGGAGAACCCTCATACCGAACGCGTCCCACAGAGTCTGACAGCCCGAAGGCACTCCAGGATCGGATGACTCCAAGGCTATGGAGGAGTCCGTCATACACGCTCTCAACTCTGGATACCGTCTCATCGACACTGCTCAGCTCTATGGTGTCGAAGACGTTGTAGGCAGGGCCATTCGCAACAGCGGCATCCCCCGTGAAGAAATCACCGTTGTCACCAAGTTCTGGGGCGAGTGGCATCACGATCCCGCGACGGCCCTGCAGATCTCGCTGGACACCCTGGGCCTTGACTACATCGATGTCTTCCTCATGCACTGGCCGTGGGCTACGACTCCGGCACCGGAGAAGAAGGTCTTGAAGAAGTGGGAGAGCCCAACTTTCATCGAGACCTGGAAGTTGATGGAGAAGCTGGTCGGCCCCAAGTGCAAGTCAATCGGTGTCAGCAACTTCATGCCCAAGGTCATGGATGAGCTGCTCAAGGAGGCCACTATTGTGCCCGCCGTTAACCAAGTTGAGTTGCATGCGTTCAACCCGAACCTGAATCTCGTACCTTACTGCAAAGAGAAGGGCGTTGTGGTCACGAGTTGGAGGTGAGCCTTTCAATCCCCTTGAGCGAGGATCTAAGACATGTTGAACACATGGATGGGTCACTAACCGAAACAGCACGATGGGTGGCTCGCGTCCATCCCAAAATGAGATTCTCAACCATGAGCTCTTCACCAGCATCGCTAGGGCGCATGGTATCTCGGCAGGCGTCGTGTCCCTCTCCTGGTGCGTCCAGCGCGGCATCGCAGTCATCCCAAAAAGCGCCAACAAGGAGCGCATCGAGGAGAACATCCGCCTTGTCACCCTTACCGAGGAGGAGATGAACAAGATCAATGAGGCACACAAGACAATTAAGAAGGAGAGATTCTCCAACGGAATTGCGGTGCAGCACATGGAGATCGATGGAGTGATGACCCAGCAGGGCTGGACCTACGTCGATATGGGCTACGAGGATGAGAATGGCAACTGGCTGGCCTAAGATGTTGGAGTGACGGCAGCATTTGTTGGGCAGCATCGGGAATTCGGTACAAATCCACGTAGAGGATAATACATTGCCGCTGCTTCAAACGCATCCATCATTCGTCCGTAATTTCATTCATCGTATCAGTACGCTTACAAATCTATGGGTCGTTTGCTCCCGTTATACGTAGAGCCAAGCCTATGTTTTCGTCACCCCAAAGCGCCTATAATTCTACATGTCAGCGGAGTTAGAGTAAAACCGGGGAGGCAGCCAACTTATAGTGCTGGTGCACTAACGTACCTACGCGGAATGTCTAGCTCTGTCCAGACCCCAATGAGACAACATTCCGAGGATCTTTGCCTTCTCTACAGACAAAAGCTGATCACTATAATGCTGAACGTTACTGATACCTCGAGTAGCTGGGTTGGAATAAAGCAAATTGCTCAATGACGGGCCGACTTACTCGTAGTCCCTCGCATTCAGGATAAAGCAACTGAGTGAGCTAAGCCAAGCCATTGGCCATAGCACCGCCTGAATCGGGGAGTGGGCCGCTAGCGTCGCAGCGAAAAGCATAAAGTCAACCACAGCAGCCACTCCGTCTTTCAACTAAAAGTTTCCCCTCCATATCGAGAAAATAAAACAGCCCGAAATCAGTAGAAGCGGCCGATATGGACCTGTCGCCTCAAGAAGAGGAGCTATCATTGACGAGGACGGGATCCTCCTCGGTGTCGGAAGTTGTCTCAGTATCGTTAGGACAATTGCCAGCGCAAAGTGAAGCCCTAGAGTCGTCGGAAGATTGGACCGGCTTGACGTCAAGCAAGGAGCGGAGGAAACTTCAAAATCGACTCAACCAAAGAGCACGCCGTTAGTTCACCCTGCGTTCCTTTGAATTCAAAAGCGATTCAGCGTCGTCTAACTGGAAGGTTTGTATCTAGGTAGAAGGATGAAGCAGGAAGTTTTCCGTCAAATGAGTCAACTTGAGGGAGTGATCAACGAGACCATAGCAGAAGCAGAGTCAGCCGGCCGTTTGCAACACGGTACCACCGGAGATGAAGGCTACTCGCTTTTGCCATGCCCGAAAAGGAGGAGCGAGTTAATGATCCTCGCACAGGAGGCACGAAGAAATTATGCCCTCGGAACTCCCGCGCCTCGACAGCTGAGCGCCCTCGTCAAGCTCAACCTGCTCACTGCGCTCTGGCGGAATACGCAGATACTGGGCTTCAACGTACACTCCATCTGTGAGGATGAGTTCATTTCTCCATATAATCTCCAAGGCCCAGATCTTCCTTGCTATTCTCGACAAGAGCTCTCGTGGCCCCCATATTTACGTCCAACGGAAGCGCAGAAAAAGATTACACATCACCCTTTTCTTGACGTCTTCCCATTTCCGTCGTTGAGAGAAGCCGGAATACGGGCTGAAGAGCTTGGATTCTTTGACGAGGACGACTTTTGCCTCGACATCTTCCATCTCGATGACAAAAAGGACGGCGTGGAGCGACCGCGCATGATAGTATGGGGCGAGTCTTGGGATCCCCGCGGTTGGGAAGTCAATGTCGCGTTTCTGCGGAAATGGGGCTGGATGGTCCGAGGCTGCCCAGAGTTGCTAGAAGGCACCAATTACTGGCGTGAGAAAAGAGGCGAAAAAAAGCTGAATTTCAATCTTAATCGGTGATGGCGATAGGGCATCGGAACAGTATACATCATTTCACCAAGTCGGCTTTTCGAGCAGAGCAGAACACAAGGAGATTTAGATTCACGATGGAGGCACAGGTAAAAAAAAACTCGCACTACTTTGATGAATTTGAGCTAGGTTCCAGTCTCCGTAGAGGACAATTCCCCCACAATTCAATGGCAAGGCGTCAACGTCGACTGCCTTCCAAGAGAGCCCAACAAGGCTGAGTAGTGATAAGGTAGCACGTTGAACGACTTCCCATGAAACAGTCAACGCTAATCGCTCTACCCTCCTCGAATAGTTCCTTAGAAAGGCTGGGCAGTTGCATGCCAGAAAAGCTCGCCGATAGCATATCGGTCGGTCAGAGGCTTGACCTCATCCTTCACACACGTCTTTTCGACCGGAACTCCGTCGAATCTCGCGCCAATCCATGCAGCAATGTCAGCTCTCGCCGCCTCCAGAACCTGGCCGTGGCCCATACTCGGGTAAACTCGTGCATGAACAGGGCTCTCGGGGAATGAGGTGCAAGTCTGGTTGAAGTCATCGAGTGTAAGGTTGTTAGGCGTGATCGTGTCGGTCTCGCCAGAAATGACCAACATTGGCGCTGCGATGGAGTGCGGGCCTTGGCCGTTATATCTAACAGCCCATTCGTCGACGATAGGAAGCGTCAACCAGCTCGTGTTCTTGTAGAGTTGCTCAGGGGTGAAGTCACCGACGATAGCGAAGCCGGACGTGAAGCATGACTTGTCGAGGGCGCCGAGGCGCTGCAAGGGAATCTCTCCAAGGTAGTCCGCAACCTTGATCTGGTCGGGGAAGAGCAGAGACAGAGACTGGAGGAAGTAAACCGAGAAGGGATCGTGGGCAGCTTTTCCTTGGGCAAGCGCGAGGGAGGCGGGGATCAACTTTTGCGGCCGCAAAGCTGGGGCGGCAGCCACGGAGCCGACGAACTCGCCGGCCTCCAGAAGAGCTTCTTGGCCAGGCTGAGCCAGACGCTCGTTGGTTCTCCATGCCGTCATGCCACCTTCGCTGTGACCATAGACCACCCATTTCTGTCCCAAAAGGTCGCCGATAGCCTTTCTCGCGGCAACAAGAGAGTATGCGACATCAGCAACGTGGAGCCAGCCAGACTCGTACATGAAGCCCTGGGGAATATCGGAACCCTGACCAGCATAGTCAGGAGCAATAACAGCATAGCCAGACTCGGCGAGGATGAAAGGGGCCTTCCAGTCGTAGTAAAGACCCTTGTTGTTGGTGGGGGCACACAAGCGGCTACGGCCGGCAGTTCCGTGGGTCCAGACAACGGTGCGAAGCTTATTCTCTTCGGCCGTAGCCCCGGGCTTAGCGAACGGGTTAGAGAAAGGCAGAAGAACCCAAGCGGATGCGGGGATGGGCTTGCGGTCAATGTCTTCGGTTACATAGAGGACCCTTGACAATGACAGACTGGCGGGGATAGTCCAGTTCGAAGAGAGCTGGGCAGCGGGCACGTTCTCCCATCGCAGGATGTCGCCAGGCTTGGCACCGGTGAAGTTGGAAGGCGTAGAGTAGAACGGGTCGGACACGATGTCGCTTACCCACAGGGAGGCTTCAGCTTCGTACGTGGTTTGGATGGCGGTTTGGCAGGCTGCGTCACAGCCCTTCTGGCATTCGGCATCGCAGATGGGGTCGAGTGCAGAGACGATGCCGGCGAAGGCGGCAGCAATAGCTATGAAAGACTTCATTTTGCCGAATGATCTTGAGTTGGAAACAAACGTAACCCTGCTGGATGAGGAACGGAAGACAGTCATGATCGCTGCCAGCACGCGGTCTTTATACAAGATCGAGGACGGAAAGGGGGTTCATCTCATTATCTGATTATCAACCATAGATATGATTACAGGAGTTGATTTCATTGATTTTGAACCTTAATTCCACGCTTTACCTACACAATACTACAAGCCCAGATTGCTGAGCAGTCATATTAAGCATACGTGCGATGCAAGCTTGGTGTTCGCCCCAGTGTCGCATACAACTTCCCCTTTTGGGATGGATCACCCGCCCCCCGTTGCAGCGCATCCATCCTGAATTGTGATCGGGGTCCAGTCCAGGCCCGGAACCACGGTAATCGACTCAGCTAAATTTTTGTCGATAAACGTTCTTGAGCTGCTTTCAGCTTGAACCTGGGTGTTCTCAGTCGAAAGCATTCTCGGAACGCTTCCGACCCATTCCGCCTCATCTTCTGTATGCTTCTAATTGTGAGAGGCGAACTTCGGAGACTTCTGCCACGCTGGCCATGCATTTCACCCCGCCAAGCTATGGTTATATCGGCCTCCCACGGGCATCTGTTCCCAGTGATACGGTATTACTCCACCTTCAAAGATGTCAGCTTCTGATCGGCCGGCCCCGGCAAACATGGTCATGTACATCATGTTGTACGGCATTGCATCCTTAGGTTACTTGCGTACCTAATCCTTTGGAGGTGTCTCGGGCTGGAAGCAAGGTGTTTGCCCCAACCAAAGCATCTGAGATACTGGACTTACCTTTTCCAAACCTGTTGTTCTTAAAGTATCCAGTGACCAGAGCGACGCATCAGTTGCGCAATGAAAAGCCGCTCACGAGATTGATCAATGAAAGTGAGATGAGCAGCGGAGGAAATCCCTAGCCTCTTCCAATACGTTCACCGATGGACATATCAGGTCATGGAAGAAGACATCTATCTGTAACCATTACTAGCGACCCGAATTTACTTAGGCAACCTGATCAGAAAGGAAGGATGACAGTGCTCAGAATGATAAGTTATTTCATAATGTACCCAAGTCTTGAATTCTGTCTATATGTCTCAATTTTTCTAATCAAAAAAACTTTGCCGGTCAAACCAGATCTCATTCGATCTGTAATGAGTTGTAGAAAATGCTTCGATGAAAATACTACCTTGGGTGAGCGACGGCAGCATATAACTTATCACAAGAAGTTCGGCCGAATTAAAACATGATTTGACTCATGATTCTTGAGGGAAAAGCATCCAGATTCTTGCCACCCGCCATTAGGCATTGAAATGCAGGATGACAATCCCATCGCCGTCAGAAATGTTCGCAGAGGTGTAACATGACGCGACTCTGTGATTGTATCTGAAAATTTCTCGTGAGGAATCATCTTTCTATAACCTGGATGTCGGATTTGAAAGTCAGCTGCAAAAGCGCCACGTGAACGTTCATCTTGAACGGTCGCTTCCGTCATCGCCACGCCAGGAAGCCGTGCATGCGTCGTCGACGAGATCTAAGCGACTCCTCTTCCCCCGCACCATGTGGCATTCCGGCATCAACTACCGACAAACTATCTCGGCTTAGCGATTTCTTCCCCAAAACATATCAATTCACCATCGACTCCTCTTCCTTCCTGCGTTTTCATACTCAAAAATGGAGAACACAGGTACAGCTGAGGTGCTAGACGTGTCTCAATGGCCGACGGCGGCGGAGTTTGTCTCTCGGTGTTGCGACTTTTTGAATGAAGTGCAAGATTTGTAAGTCGTTTCCACTTGAGACTTAAGTTTAGGTAGGAATCAATCTGATCAACTCGTATCGAATGCACTAGAACACCCGGCAAAGCCTTAGAGACGCGACTCAACCAAGAGTTCGGACCTGGCAATCAGTACTACGAAGACTTCTGTTCATATATCAAACAGGGTCTCAAAGAAGGTTGGGTAGCGCAGACCGAGATTGACGGACGCAAATACCGGCGGGGCAAGATTGCACTCCCTTCAGCATCGACAAGATACTTCAGCATCACCACTGTGTTCATGGATAGCGATACTGAGTTTAGGGGACAATATCACGCTCATCCTTACGGCGAGATAAACTGCGTCATCCAGCTTGATCCTGCGGCAGAACTCAAAGGAATGCAAGGCTGGCAGGGTGCTGGCTGGACATCCCCCGGACCTGGGACACATCACTTTCCTGAGGTCCGGAGAGGGGCTTTGGTAGCATTGTTCTTTCTGCCTGCTGGTCGGATCTCATATGATGCTGAGCCAGGTGCCCCACAGCCTCTATCGGTTTAGGTATTAATACATTAGCAGAACATGATTAATTCGACGGTTCAATGCTGGAATGTGACCATAAAGGAAGACTTCAGATTTCTACGTAATTCTAGCGAGTGTCACGGCTCTGTTCCAGTGTTTGGACAGTGGAACCTTTGTGGATAACAGGAATTGAAAGGGGCATGTTAAAGAAAGTAAGGTTTGAACAGAAAGGACCACGAGAAAATAATAAAGTAGAACACCAAAGAAAGTTGCAAATCTCGACACAATCCCTGAAACGAGGCTAGCCCAAGTCGAGCCACAGGATCTCTGAATCCCTCGCAAACAGTCAAAATCCATCAATCCTCATTATGAGCCTTTTTCTGTCTCTTCAGGCTTGGGCCGTTGATCTGCCTTTGTCTAGTTCCATTCTGAACAAGGCCTTGGCTCGACAGCACATTGCAACCGGAATAGTAGGCATGCAAAACCGGGAGCCCACACAAATCTCGGTCGTAAGTGGCGTGGATATTGTTGATTTGGTCGCCAGGCCCAGACTTTGTACAATTGATGAACAGGAGTGCATTGTCGGCAGAGTTCGAGGACTGAGCCATGTAAGACGAAGCTGTGGGACTTGCATTACCAAAGTGGGTGTACTTGAAGTGAGGTCCAGGTCGTTGCATAGCCATCAGGTCAAGCAGATTTGGATCGTTCTCGACGTACGCTCCATTAATCTGATCGACGCCCTTATCAGCCGTGCAGTTGTGGTACATGGCACGACCTTTGACTTCACCTCCGAAGGGGAATTTCTGCTGGGGCCAATCTTGAGAAGAAGGGCGATCGTCGGTAGCAAGGAGATGAGCCTGATCTGAACCTGAAATGTGGCTTTGTTCGGCTTCGTTGGTCATGTTTTGAGGGTGCATGTAGGTAGGAAGAGCAGAAGCAGGCTTCCAGTCTTGAGATCCATGTGAAGTCTTCACAAGCGCGACTGAATCACCGCTCGTTGGGGATGATG